TAGCCATCAGGTGAATGCGAATAAAAACCACAAATGAGGTTATACCTCACCCCAGTTAGAATGACCATCGTCCAAAATAAAAAAAATAGATGCTGGCAAGGATGTGGGAAAAAAAGGTACCACAACCTACTGTTGGGGGGAATGGAAACTGGCAGAATCAGTGTGGAAAATGACATGGATAGTTTCAGGAGATCTAAAAATAAACCTACCACATTACCCAGACATCTCACTCCCAGGAATTTACCAAAATTAAATGAAATCAGCATATGAAAGAAGCATTTATGCTCCCATGTATATCATAGCTCAATTCATAATAGTTAAGATATGGGATAAACTCTGATGTTCATCAACTGAGGACTGGATAAAGCAAATGCAGCATTTAAACAATATGGAATACTATTTGGCCATAAAAAGAATGAAATCTTGTCTTTTGGAATAAAATGGATGCAACTGGAATAAGCCAGTCTTAAAAAGACAAATGTGATATTTTTTTCTGAGAAATGGCAGATAAAATAGAATGTAAAAAATGTTTAGTAATGAAATTTTCATTTTGGGATATGATTGTCATGTTTTAGCACTTGTTTATATGACTGTGAAACTGTGGTCTTCCTTTTTTTTTGTTCAAAGTTACAGTTTGTAACAAATTAAGCCTGTAAATAAACAATTGATTAAATAATATCTTAAAACTGACGAAGACAGGGCTGAGAGGAGAATGGGGGAGCAGTGGAATGAGGGATGTTGGGTGGTCTCCTTGGAACTGTAGCTGTAGAATGCATAAAGTCCATTCTCTTGATGTTAATAAAACAACAACAACAAAAGAAGCACTACTTTTGACTTGGGGAATTCCTCTAAATGCCCAAGGGGCAGAACATTTTCTTTAAGAAACTGAGCCAAATAAGCTATTACCAAATGATTCTTATTCTTTTCAAAAAATTACACTGATTAAAGTTTCTTCCTATAGTTTTCTAAAACTAAATTGTGTGAACATAACAGTAAAATTATATAAAGCACTCACTTGTGGTGTAGTACAATCACTATTTGGTAAGAGGCAAAATTGAAGTTTTTTACAGAAATATTTCATATTGTCACAAAAAATGTTAACACATACTTTAGAAATCTCACATTCTGGCCACTAGGGTGAGTCCTACACCTTCTCCAATCCCAGTGTGAGTTACAGGCCCTAACCATCCTTCTCTTGTTTTCTCTTTCTCTCTCTTTTTACCAAATACACACACACACAGACACACAGACACACAGACACACACACACACACACACACACACACACACACACTCCACATACATTTTTTAATGAGTTCCTTTTTACTGAGTTCCTTCCTATGATGAAGAACTCATGCTACACAGGGCTCAATACTAGGAAAGACAATAAATCAAAAGCAATAACATTTTGATATAAAAATGTCCACAAATAAACTGGGCTGTCTCTTACGCTATACATGAATAAAAATGTATACATTAATAAATCATTCCACTACATTTTCAATGAGCTTTATGAAGTACTCCCCTACTATGACAGTTACAATGAATCCTGCTTAGTATATCCATCATCTAACTGTAACGCTAAAATGACCTACCAGTAAAACCCAGTCATGAGACTCCAGCTTAGAATTCTGCACACATCCTGATTGGTTCCATAACTGGTGAACCCTCACAGAAAGTCTGCCAGATTCTTTCCCGTTTTGGCTTCATTGCCAATGGCCTACTGCTGTGCATCTCAACCGTGTGAGGTGATCATCTGTCCCTCTCCCCAGAGGTTCAGCACACCATATTTTTGTGGGGGCTGATGTGCTCCACAAGCTATAGCTAGCTCACTAACCACTCCCTTCCCATTTGCTTCACTGCACAAACGGCCTCAATCTTTATGTTTCTGTTTTTACTTCCAGAGGGAATCCAACCTCAACCATTCTCCTTCTCTGGTCATACTTTAATGAACTGGATTTGAATCTCCATAAGACAAGGACAGTGTCATATACAGTTTGGCAAGTCAGCTTAGGCTTAAAGGACTCTCAATAATTATCTGTGAAACTGTTGAATGAGGTGAATTACGAACACTTAGAATTTTTTTATGAACTCATTTTCTTAAAATGTTCCTTATTATGACCTTAAAAGACTATTTTTTGAAAAGCACTCTTTGCTTCTAATCATTTGGGAAATAACAGTTCTCTTTTGAAAGTACATTATGTTTGGCAAATTAAACATGAATGTGGCATAAAGAAATGCAGGGAGACAATCATTTTCCCATTTGTTTCAGTGCTGTCCTCAACTAAGCTCTGTAAGTATGGGAGGTGCTCCACAATATATATTTTTTAGCAAGTTAGTATGCAAGCCATTAATTTACCCTATGATGTGAACAACTCTGAAAAATACAACTGATGAAAAGTATACCCCAGGATGATATTTTGATATTCTTCATGTAAGAGAAAAGAATATTTCATCAGTTAGGAAGATAGGATTTCTGGATATTACAGTTCTTAAATAGCAAATGAAGTTATGGTTAGCCCAACACTTCCCTTCTTACAAAAACCTTGTATACATAAAGCAACTTTTGCTTTCAACATAGATTTTCTCTATTTCTTTAGTCTAACAAATTGGGTATTTACACTATGTCAAAAAAAAGTTAGGAGGGGCCAGCATTCCGCAGACAAATCTGCTGCCTGTGACACTAGCGTTCCTCTACCGGAGGACAAGTTCCCTGGTAATGACCTGGGAATGCGGCAGAGGGCGTCCCAAGTGCTTTGTGTGCTACACCCAAACGGGGATCTACTGAGGTTGGCTCTGGCTCTGGTTTGGCACAGCCCTGGCCATTGTAGTCATGTGGGGAGTAAATCAGTAACTGCAAGGTAGATTTGTCTGTTTGTCCATCTCCCCTTCAGTTTCTAAATCTACTTTTAAATAAAAAAAAATTTTAAAGGTTAAAAATCATTTTTCTCTAATACCATATGTTCAGAATTTCATGAAGTATCTGTTAAACCCATTGCTTAATTTGCCGTGTACATCTAATACCTGAAATAAAATAAGCTTCTTTCACTTCTAACTACTATAGTAATAAACTAAGATTTTGCAGAATTGAATATTATAGATCCTTTCTGAGTCATGTTTTTAAACATTCTAAATTCTTCAGTAAGCTCATTTGGTCAGTAGTTGAAAACTTATTCTAGAATTCAGTATTATCCTCTTGTTTCTTTGATATTTGGCAAGCTTGTCATAAAGACTTTTCAGCATTCAAATGCACCCTCTAACACAACAATTACACATGTTTAAAATCAGCATCATTTGTTTAGAAAACTACTTGAAGGTCTAATCTTGGCTGATGGCATTCATAGGCTTTTTTTTAAAGTATAAAACAATAATTGCAAATCTTACAATGTGTTCTTTGTGAAAAAAAGGAATAAAAACAAACAGAACTGATTCCTTTAAAGACTTGATTCTAGGATATTCAGTTTTCTCTTCCTCCCCTTATGCTCATTGCTTACTGACATTGCTAATAGGACAATTCACTTGAGTGGCTCAAAAGAAATGAAATCAATGATAGGGACAGCAATAGTGCTCATTTCTGTCATGTGACCACATCCTAAGAAATACCTAAGGTTTGAGTCTGGAGCTTTTCAGTGGTGTGCAAGATTCTACTCTTTAAAAAGTCACTTATTTGGCCTTTACTTTCTCATCTGTAAACCATATTCATTTGTTACATAATCAATGACCACATGTCACAGATCAGAAATTATGCAAGGGAAGGAAAGGGAAGATTATATTACAGATTACAAAAGAAAGGCCATAGAGAACAACAGGCAAAGGCAGGTTAAAAACCATGAAGGACCCAGACAGGTCTGTTGAATCCACATTTTTTGAGGGAAAAGAAGGCTATTAAAGAGTTTCAAACTATCCAAGCCACTCCAGATGCAAAACAAGCTTTGAGTTACATGGTCAGAGTCATGATTTACAGATATTATTCAACTTAGAGAAGGTAGAGGAAAGAGAATAAATCTTAGCTGGCTTTAAAAATGTAGACATGTGTTCACAAAACCCTAAACTAAGCCACTGGCAGTGAGGGTAAAAAGGAGGAGAGGGATTCGTGAGCTGTTTGAATATAGAACTGACATACGCTAGACTGATATGGAGTACGAAGAAGAGAAAAAAAATCCAGGGTTATTTTTGGAACTTAGTTTTGGCTATGCTAATCTTCTAGCACCTGGAGACCAACATGTAGAGATTGAGCAAACAGTGGATTGTGTGGGCAAGGAGGAATATTCATCCAAAATACAAATGCGGACAAAGAGGAAGTTGCTAGAGGAGACAAAAAGAATGGCCCTAGAGTTAGGGGAGAAAATCATCACTATAACAAGAAGAGAATTTAAATGGGAGAGCACTGATTTGTACAATTCCTGTGAAGTTACGAAGTGAGGTGAAATCTTAACACTGCTCAGGGAATATGGTGACAGAGTGAGTACAGTGTCATTGGAGTAGCTCAGACACAAACTAGATTCTAGTGGATTAAAAATTGAGCAGAACCACAGAGAAGTGGAATTCTTTATCTAGAAGCTTGAAATAAAGTAGTAAGATAAACTAACTGGTTAGATGATCTTGTCAACTCCTTTCGGCAACAATATGCTCTGAAATTCTGCTAGCTAAAGTGTTTTAAGAAAAGTATGTGTCTCCAGATATCCATCTTACTATGGTCTTTGTATTATGGAAGCAAGGAAATGGCACTCATATAGGTTCAGAACAGGACTATCTGGACACCTGATTTAGGGATGTTCAGGCAAGCTCCTCTGCACTTTTCTTGAACTGTGTGGAGACCTAGCAACTTCTCTTTTCACTTGCTTTGCAATAGTGATGGCAGTGTGCTTCACAGAGAATATCACCCAGGTGATGAAATCTATCATTTAAATAGTAAGAATAAAATTATTATCCACATGAAAGTAAAGTACCCCTTGCGTAAGCACACAGAAATAAAGAACAGCCATCATATAGTTTACTTACAGGTGGTCCTGGGGGTCCTGGTTTTCCTGGGGGTCCTGGTTTTCCTCGTCGTCCCTTGAAATAAAAGAAAAACATGAATATTGTAATTCCATTTAATTTTGATATAGTAAGAAGTGCAGTATAAAATACAGTAAAAATGAACAAGTTAAAAAAATATTTCCAGGTCCACAGGACTTTTAACCATGAAACAATTCTCAAAAACTACATACCAAATCTTAATGATCATGTTGAGAAACACCCTATCTGAAATGAATAAATCTTATCTGTTATCAATAGATCTTTAAGAGCTGTCTACTTATAACCCTAGTAAGGTAATACAAGTATCTGAAAGACGTTCTCAAGATCGGTATTTTATCTGATGATTCTATGATTCCAAGTGCATTTATAAAGGCATCTATTATCTTATGTTGGTGTTTATGAAAGAGAGATTGCACTGCTCATTTCATGGGCACCTTCTGCTGATGAGATTGGTTGTTAAACATGCCTATTTGTTTTATCTTAGACTTTACAGTTTAGACTCTCTGAGGATTGAAGTCACTGATCTGCATATTTAATACCACTTCAGGTGAGTTGGTTATGTTCACTCCAGTTTGGAAAGCATTACACTAAGCCCTTTCATAATTATGCATGTTGACAAAACACAAGCTTGTACCAGGTCTTTCCTTCCCTTTGGATGGTTAAGTTGTTCTGTAGGTGAACTAACATGTAATTCTTTCACATAAATCTTCATTATTGCAACCAAATAGGAACCTCCCAAATTTACAAATAGTTAAATTCCAATTGCAGGAGTAAGAAAGATATATTTGTGCTAACATCTCTAAGTAACTAGGTGGCTTATATCATTTAAGACCATTTAGCTATTTATTATAGAATTAATTTGCAAAACATTGTTTTCCCAATAAAGTGGAGAACACAGGTACTGAATGCATTCATTTTTATGATATTTCTGAGCACATGCTTTTCTAAAAAACACTTTTACTAATAACTATCTTATTGCTAAAACGATAAACTTATAATAAGTACATATTAAGTATATAATAAGTACATACTTGAATAATGAAAGTATTAGGTTAACCTTTTCTTTTTTCAAAAACATTTTATTTATTTATTTGGAAGAGGAGAGGGAGAAACCGAGAGGGAGAGAGAGAAGGAAAGAGGGCAAGAGAGAAAAAGGGAGGAAGAGAGGGAAAAGCAGGGAGGGGGAGTGTACGGAGGGAGGGAGAGAGAGAGATATCTCATCTACTGATTCTTTTTCGTGTTGGAGCTGGGAACTCAATCTGGGTCTCATACTGGAGCAGGGAGCCATCATTGCTGCTGCCCAGGGTGCACATTATCCAGAAGATGAATTAGGAGCCAGATAGGAGCTGAACCCAGGCCCTCCATAGTGGCTTCTCATTCCCTTCTTTTCCAACTTGTTCCACAAACAGAGAAAAAGATCCTCCATCTGTTGGTTCACTCCCCAAATATCTGCAACAGCCAGAGCTAAGCCAATCTGAAGCCAGGAGCCAGGAACCTCCTCTAGGTCTCCCAGACAGATACAGGTTCCCAAGGCTTTGGAACAGCCCCCGCTGCTTACTCAGGCTAAAAGAAGGGAACCAGATTGAAAATGGAGCAGCAGAGACACAAACTGGTACCCATATGGGATGCCAGTGCTTGCAAACAAGGAATAGCCAGTTGACCCATCATGCCAGCTCCTAAGTTGGTCTTCTCAATAATTTTTTTTTTCCTTGAGAATTGTAAGCAATAACATAGAAGAGTCAACTTAATTCTATTAAATGTTTTTAGCCTGGAAATATTTGGCAAAGTTATCCAATTTCCCTATTTTTCATTTAGGCTTGGAGTGGAGTAGAAGTTTAAATGCCAGGTCAAACAGCAAGGTAAGCAAGAGAATATGGTAAGATTTGGTGAAAAATGTGCCCATAGTTTCTGAATGTAAAATAAGAGAATACCATCCTAAAAAAGAAACTTTTTCCTGTAAATAACTTGATTAACATCTACAAAATAGATTTAAAAATTTACTGAGAACAGAAGTAACATTTTACAATCTATTTTCTATTTTAGAAGTCTAAATCTTGGAGTGATTTTTATAAAACTATAAGATTGTAATGAATATACAATATTCAGTACACTTAACCCATGTACACCATTTCCTTGTCTTGAATTTGCATTTTCTGAAAACCAGTATATTGGATCTTTTAGTAAATATCCATGAGTTAATGTCAGAAGTAATCAATCGTAAAAAGTTTACTTGGAAAATGAAGTATGTCATCTATTAACTCATGGTAGCACAAAGAAACTAAATCAATGGTAACTAAGTGATTGGTTCTTTGCTTTAGCTTGTATTAGGCTGAGGAAAGTGAAACCATGGGGTCAACGTTGTTTACACTCCTCTTTCTCCAAAGGGATCATATATATTGATCTGGGCAGGATGTGTGGGAAACTAACACTATTGCCTAACCTCTATCACAGAACTCATGTTTCAGAGTAACCAAGTCTGAGATATCCGAACATAATATGAACAGTGTAAAATGAGGAGCAAAAAGTTTCTACCCTTCAGTACTGCAAGCGCATGCATCTAAATTCTTGCATGTGAGTCTCTGCTAATTTCTGTGGTCATTTAAGTCAGCCTTGCCTTTCAGAAATTCTGATGAGTATGGCAGAAGAGTACAGAGAGGAAGCTGATTTTGTTCATGTGTCCTTGCCACATGTGCATTCACAGGTAAAATACTTAAGCAGGTTGTTAAGTTAATGGGGACTATTATATACAGATTGCTTCAACCAGTATTTTTGCAGCTTAAGCCTAGTGTTTAGACTTGAATTTCCTGTGAACAGCCTAAGTCTATTTTAACAATTTAAAAACACATCTTTCACAAAGCAACACGGTGACATTCTTTTCTAAGCTTGGCACCAAATGTATCCACAGTTTTGTCCAATGTCTCAGTGGTGTGTAGAAGGGGAGCCCTGCGAGGACATCAGAGAGATGGATGAGAAGCAGAAATGGGAACTCCAGACTATGATAGGAGAATTGGGGGCCACAATTTCTATAATATAATAGTACTAACCTACTCCCAGGCATGCTTTTCTCTAGAATTCCTTGTCCATTTCCCTCCTTCAAAGGCCGCAGGTGCTCTGAATCTATGTTCAATGGCACCACTGCTCTTTGTCCACAAAGACCTTTTCTCTTTTCATTTAAATAAGCACTAAGGGGAGTCAAATTTATGTAAGATTTATAGTTGATTTCTGATTTGACTTTTATCATTTTATACAAGATGACCCGAGGAGATGTTATTATTTTGTTATTGGGTTGTTCACAGTGAAGCTAGACAACAGGCATAAACTATTAACTCTCATCCTTTGGCTGCAATCAGATCCTCCTCTCTCAGGGGAAGGGTTAACCTTAGCTGTTTTGCTCACAGGACTCTGGGGAAGGGGTGAAGACACCTGCAGGGAGGGCCTGGACTTGCAGGCTGCTGATGGCTCATGAGGATTCACTCTGAGGCTCATTTGATGAACGATTATGGTACATTAGATCCCATTTCTGTCACCTGATATTTCTGTCCTCATATTACACAACCTATTTCAAATTCCTTCTGAAGTGTGGAAAAAAAATTAGGATGTGAATGGAGATTAAGATCCTGGCAGATAATTCAGAAAACAAACTGAGAGAGATATTTCTAGCTATGGTGGCTGTCTACAGGGTTTATTCACAAGCAATTCTGCTATACTGGTATCTGGTTAAACATTCAGATGCGGTGACATCTACTGTTCCAGCTTCAATACAATCAGGCTCACTTTACACTTTCCTGACAGCTGGGGTATAAGGCATAACATACAGATTTACTGTACCAGGTTTCCCTGCAAATTGCTCATCATGTCAATTTCATACATGGAAATATGGTAAAGTTAATAGACAAGAATTTGGATTCCTGCCTACTGATCCAAGCTTACTAATGTTTAAAACTGACCAAGCATCCATATCACTTGGAGGACTGGTTAAGTATAGAGGTACATTTCCATCTCTGAGTTTCTGGTTCAGTATGTCTGGGTGAGATCTGACAATGTGTATATCTTAACTTCACATTATCAGTGATGCTGGTGAGTTGGGGACCACATTTTGAGAATGACTGCTCTAAAGTTAACACTATTATTTAATATTTAACATCAAACAATTGTATCAACTTTTACATCCAATAACTGCTGCAGCTTGGAACAAAATAATTTAATTGGCTTTGCGATTATGTAAAACTTTGAGAATAAAATGTTTATTGTCAAGTGCAGGCAAAGCTGGACTGGGGTTACTTATTTTTAAATGAGACTTCTACATTTCAACAGGTTTGTTGAAGGATTAAAAAGATCTGGCATAGGTGTTTGCCCTACTGGTTCAGATGGTTGGGGCACCTGCATTCTGTATTTAAGTGCCTGAGTTGGCTTCCTGGCTCCTCTTCTGATTCTAGCTTCCTGACAACGCAGACTCTGTGAGGCAACAGGTTATGGCTCAAGCGATTGTGACACCACCACCCAGGTGGGAGGTCTGGAATGAGCTTTCTATTCCTGCCTTTAGCCTGGTTGAGCCTCTGCTGAGGCAGCCACTGGGAGAGAACCAGCAGATTGGAACTCTTTTTTTGGTTGTTGGTTTGCACATCCCTTTCTGTCAGTAGAATCAATATTTTAAAAAGATAATTTGTAAAATTCCTATTGCCAACATCATGAAGATGGTTACTACAAAGATTTGAAAATAATGTGTGCCATCAACAGAGCAGAAGGGCTGGAATGCTTGCGAATGTTACTAGAACTGTAACAGTGAAATTACTACTGAAAACAGCCTGAAATAGACTTAGAAATCAGAATTAGAAACAGAATTATCATAGGAGCCAGAAGTTCTGCTTCAGGGTACCTACTCCAAAGAGTTGAAAGCAGGACCAAGAAGAGACATTTGTGTGTGTATGTTCATACTAGCACAGCACTATTTTCAACAGCCAAGGGGTGGAACCAATCCAAACACCACTGATGGATGAATGCATAAACAAAAAATGGGGTAAAAGCATACAATGGAA